CGTACTGTTTGGACGTCCTTGGTATTAAGTAAGTTTATATCTAGAAGTATTGCCTATGGATAGTTGGACTAGTGAGGAAAGATGATTTGTTGTAAGCTTGTGAGTAATCTTGTAAAAAAGTGTTGGCGTTAGAGTTTTTCTTCTAGTATGGTGAGTTGCCCAGGATACTTCCTTTTGAAGTTCATGGAGAGAAACGAGTTTTGTAGCATCAGAAATGATTCCAACTGTTTTGTCTTAGATTTTGTCTAGTTCTGTTGTTGTTTTTCTCATTTTGGGTACAATTGCCATATAATACGTCAGCATACTAAGTATTTAAATAAAGGTCTGATGCATGTAAAAAAATTCCAGTTCCCTCGGAAGCATTAATCACAAAAAACAAAAAACTTGCAGATTCGGTTTGATTGAGTCTGTACATGAGTAAAGTATAGGACTTCAAGGCCTTCTATCTAGCTTAAATGCAAATGATCTCATAATGTGAATTCTCTTTCAAGCCCGTTCTTTAATTGAATTGATATGTATATGCCACAATCATCGTTGGAATCGGAGTGCAATTCATAATAAGTTGTCTATGTAACGGTTTTTGAGACTTTCGAGATATGACCATAGTTTCAGATTTGGACAGATTGAAGGAAATTAGCTTACGAGAAACCCAATCTGAAATCGTATCAATGTCTGATTCCAAACTTTTCGCAGCTGATTGTGCATAGTCTACAACGATATATGGAAACTTGTATTGCAGCAAATTAATGAACATCTGAATCTAAATTATGGAAAATGTCGACGATATATACGAGAAACAACAAGGAGCCAAAGATTGAGCCCTGAGAAACTTCAGCATTGACTATGTTTCAGGAAGAGTTACATTTTGACGACGATCTGAGAGATAGTCAAAAATCCATTCAAGAAGGCGTCCATCAAAGCCAGCAGTTTTTAATTTGAAAATGAGACCTTTGTGCAAAATTGAACAAACGCTTTGCTGAAATAAAAAAAAACTGTAAAACTGTCTAACCCATCATCTAGAGATTTACAAAAAGTATTACTAAGATACGTTAGCTGATTGACAGACGAGTAACCTGTTGTCAAACCGGACTGTGGAGAGAAATTTATTATCCCGAAAATTGTGACCCCTAAAGAAATTATAAAAATGTTTGAAAACAATACGTTCATAAAACATTTTAGGATAGCATAGTAGGGATATTGGTCTATGGTTATTTGGCATAGAAGTGTCGACTTTCTTGAATACAGCACAAATATGGACAAGGGAGCCTACTACATTGAAGTAATGTAAAGGAGAAGATAGTGGAGTTTTAAGTTCCGATGCTGTTTACCGTAAAATACGGTTACTAATTTATAAGGACCTGTTTGCTTTCTTGGTTTTCTAGGATTTCAAGGCATCTTCTACGTCTGGTGGAGTTATGATTATAACTAAGAGTTGGTGTTATGGTTCGTCAAAGTTAGTTATTGGCGATTCTTTATCAGAGTTAAAGAGTGTGGATTTACTATTACAACGTATTTTGTAGATTAGATTGGTCTTAAATGTCAAATACCCAAGAGCCCGACACAGCGTCAACTAAAGGAGGGATTACTTGTTTGTCTAAAGGTGAGATAAAACCTTTCATGAGATTCCACCAATTCTTTACGGCATAAGAATCGTTTTCCAATGCTTCTAAAGCTTTTAAATATGGCTCTTTTTTAGCATTCCGAATTGAGGTAACGACTTCATTTCGGACTTTTTAATGTTTTTCCCAATGAGTTTGGATGTTAGTGTGTTTTGCTCTTTGATATTATTTCGTACGTTTTAGAATTAGTTTCCTTATATGTGTAGTGAACAAAGGTGGATCGTTTGGTCGTATTATTATGTTGTTTTTTGTTTGGTATGCGTCTTTTGCGAGCTCAAGTAGTTTATTGGAGAACGAACACGAGAAGTTGTTGATGTTATTATCTTGAAATTGTTTGATTTTATCTCTTAGAAATTGGTCTCAGTTTTTTTAAAACGTTAGTAAATTAAAATCGCCTTGGTCATGAAGCCACACTAACGCTTAAATGCCTTAGCAGATGGTTAAGAAAAATCAAACAATGCAATAATTGTGGGGAATTTTACCACATTGGATTTGTTTTTTGTATGTTGTAATACAAAATTAATTCCTTCACTTTTCACATGTTTTATTTTGTAAACACAACACTTTTGTATTCAAACACTTTAATTAAATAATTGTACTTTCCACGTTTAGTTCTATATTGAAATATGATAAACAAGATTAACAAGGAAAGGTGGCGTTTAATGAACGCAACCCTCATACGACCCAACAACAAGAATACCACATGTTTCCCTTTTTATAACACAATTCCCGCCAAAATTAAAATTAACAAAAGCATGAAATACATGAATAGGAGCAATAACATGTCATTACAATTTCCCGCCAAAAGTAAAATAAACAATGGCATGAAATACATAAATAGGATAGGAGCAATCACATGTCATTACAATTTCCCGCCAAAAGTAAAATAAACAAAAGCATGAAATACATAAATAGGAGCAATAACATGTCATTACAATTTCCCGCCAAAAGAAAAATAAACAAAAGCATGAAATATATAAATAGGAGTAATAAAATGTCATTACAATTTCCCTCCAATAGTAAAGTCAACAAAATGCATGAATAATATGAATAGGAGCAATGATCTATGTAATTAACCAAACTGGAACAAATTCATAACATATTCGTGAAATTCACGACACTCCCGCCAGAAGAAGAAGCTTAAGAATGCAACTTTTAAAGAACGCTTTTGATAAACATGTAATAATAACTAAAACTGGCAAATCTTAACAAATTAAATATGCTTCAGCAGTTAAATGAAAATTCAGTTTAATACAATGTTAGGTTAATATTTTTATTGTCCCATTTATTACCTTATAAAACAAAATATACATAATTTGATGTCTTCCCTTTCCAATTTTTATACACATTCCTTGTGTTACAATTACATTCAGTTGTCGTACTTCAGGGTGTATACTGAATTGTCATCCTCGTAATTCACCCATGAAAATATAGGTTTGTCATTCCTGTATGTAGTGTATTTGAATCCCGTTTTCGTCCAGCATTTTACAATTGTGTTTAATGTTCGTGCTACTACTGCTAGCTCTCATCTGAGATTTCAATTACACCGTTAACGCTATCATTATCACTGTCTAAATAACTCATTTGACCCTCATTATCACTGCCGTTATCATTTTCAAAATATTCACCATCATAATCCCTGATGTATTCACCACCTTCACCGTTATCACTGTCATGATAACTTTCGTTGTCAACATCGTCATCGCTATCTTGCACATCGTAAAATTCATCAATTAAAGCATAAATTTCACTATCTGGATAACTGCCACCGTAATCACTATCACTTTTCTCTGCACCGCTATCAATACTGTTACTATCGTTCTTATCATCGTAATACACTGTGCGCACCGTAATCACTACTGTCATCACATTTCTGTTCATCAATATCGTAATCACTGTTGTTATCATTATCTGCACCGTTATCAACACTGTTATAACTATCATATGATTCACTACTAATATTATCATAATTCGTAACGATAATCACATGTCTAACATCTTCCTCAGAACGTGTAGCAACTCTTGCTAGCGAATTTAAAAGACTGATATCAAAATTCTGCACCATATCTTTTTCAAAGACGTTTACAATGTCATCATCTGATGAAAAACCCTCGTACCTGGTATCATCGCACGTCTTCGTGACACAGTTGGCAGTTGTCGCATACAGTGCTTTGCTCCTAGCCTCTGTAATGGTATACTTGTGAATAAACTGTAAATGCTTATACAAGTAGCTTATCCTGATAAATTCTGCATTGCACATTTCTTTGGTTTTGGCTTAAATGTTTTTCTGCAATATGCCTATTTAAGTTTCTCTTATTTTAATATATTTTTGTACAACTGTCACACTGATAACGTGTCATTGTTACTGCTTCTCTAAATAACAAATGAAGGGATTAAACTTTTACGCTGTTATATAAAACATTTTTTACGAAATTCACGTGCAACTTAACCGCCGAAATATAACAGTAATGTTACTACTTTGCTCCGCTATAACCACGTACAATTTTACTATAAACCGTTTGCTCCGTTTGATAAGTTTTCGCGGGGAATTTAAATATCTTAAGTTCTTGCTCTTGCTCTGGCTTGTATGTGTAATCATCTTCATTCTGGTCAATGTCAGGAGAACAAACATTTCTATTCAATGTCAAAGAAATGACTGGGCGTTAAGGTAATGATCGAGTTAATATCATTACCTACATATACTAGAGGTCTAGAGTTTATAGACGCTTCAATTTCTTTTAGCATTGTCTGCCATTGCACCAGACCTAGAAGTTTATTTCCCAACGCTTTTTGTAGGGATCTTGGAATTGTGATTTTCCTCAATGTGCTAAACGTGATTTAGCAAATATCAACTCCGCTTGTGATGAACTATTATTCGTGTGTATGTTAATTACACAAGAATATGCTTTTTCTGAAGCATCACAAAAGCAAAACCAAATTTGTTGTTTCAGATTGGTTGCCATTCTCTGGTGAAACACATCTTGAAATCTTGAAGTAAGATATGTTTTCCAAATCTGTTTTTATTTCATTCCACTCAATTTTCATATCATCTGGAACTTCCTAATCCAAGCTGATTCCTTTACTCCAAAGACTTGGATAAGTAGTTTGCCCCGTAACAACACTGGTGAAAATAATCCTAACGGATCTTAGTTCACTGCCAATCTTTTAACTACACTTCTTTAAGTAGTAGTTTCATCAACACGGGTGATAGCTTTTAAAGACAGGGTATCTTGTTGTGGATCCCAACACATTCCAAGAACTGTCAATGAATTTATTTCAGCTATGTCTTCTTTGGGTATGTAAGCGTTGAGAATATCACTATTCGATGTCGGCGGACGGAGATTCATAGACGCCGTTCTGAATATTTCCTTTGCTTCGTTTTTAAAACGCAATGCCTTCAAAGTCAGTATCGGTACCCGTTATCAAGTTATCCACGTATATGTTATTTTTCACTTTCTCTGCAATGTCGTTGTTGTACAACTCTAGATGACACCGTATTGTCGCTCCAAGTAGGAATGGACTAGCTATAATACCAAAAGGTACTCTGCAAAATCTATATTCCTGTATGTTTGTGGAACTGAAAACTGGTTCACTTGTATTCTTTAACCACAGAAAGCGAGTGAAGTCCCTCTGGTCGTGTTGTAGGCCTATTTGCAAGAAGGCCTTTTCAATGTCAGCTACTATGGCAACTCTGTGTATCCTGAATCTAATCAACATCCCACATATATCTTGCAAAATCACAGGTCCGCGATACATGCACTCGTTTAAACTTAGATTTTGTTTCTTAGTTTTAGCTGAGGCATCGTACACTATTCTGAGTTTTGTGGTGTTTTTCTGTGGAGTATTAACTGGTTGATGCGGGAGGTAATGTAACAAACCATCTTGCTGCTTGTAATCAACCTTTTCTATGATGCCCTGGTTAAGTTGATCAGCTAGTATTTTGTTGTATTTTTCCATTAACTTAGGTTTATCACTCAAACGAGAAACAGCTGACTTTAGTCGACCCATAGCAAGTTGTCTGTTGACCGGTAGGTCAAACTCTTCTTCTCGCCAGGGCCACGTAACCTGATAACGATCATTTTGAAATGTTAATGTGTCTCTGAACTTTTTCATTGCTACCTCGTCATTGGTAACTTCTATCTCATCTCTTATACCAATTGTTTCAAGGTTCCAGAAATCTTGTAACTCAGGCTCCGCTTTCATTGACGGATCCAAACTTGTAAACACATTGCTTCCTGTAACATCGTTTGCATAAGTCATTACAAACACATTTACTTCAGAAATGTCTTGACTCTTTTCCGTTGTTTGTTCAGTTAGGATCCATCCAAATTTTTTTTGATGCAAGTAAGTACAAGTCTGGCTGTATCTCGATACGGTTCGGCAACACTATATCAAGAAAGGAATCATTACCGATGAGCATTTCTATTGTTGATGTCTCGCGTTCAGAGGACAGTGTAACTCATCACTGTGTATTAGATTTTCTAACTGTTCTGACAGAGAACTCGGCACAACGTTTCTTTGTATTGTTCCGCTTATTGAAGGAACTATATTAGCCGTAATAGTCATATAGTTACGGTTATTGAGTTCTAAATTTAAACTCGTTGACTTCGTTTTGATAACTTTTGATTAATCACTTCCAAACGTAACAAGATTAAGCTCTTCTTCCGTATATCCCTGTAGCCCTATTTGTGACGCTAACCGCTCCGTAGTGTACGTCCGTTGTGATCATGAATCAAGTAGTAACCTTGTTGTTGCTCTAATTGAATAAGATGGATTCACTATTTTCGTTTTAACTGTTTGCATGAGCACCATTTCATTAGATGAAATGAAAGCAGGTGTGACTGTTCTTATTTCTAATTACTCCGCTTGAGGACTTTCTCTTAGTTCCTCAGACATGTGCACTCTTGTTTCTTCAACTTTGAATGTATCGAAATACAGACTTCTGTAATACGAATTGATTTTGCTACAGTAAACACCTTTTATTTGCTCTACAATCTTGTGACTTGTGATTATCCTTAACACATTTGTAACATGCACGTTTGTCGTTTTCTGTCTTCAAGTGTCTTGTAGTTCAAACACTCATCACTCCAATGTTGTCCTTCACAATAGCGACACTTAGTTGCATATGCTTCACGTTTCTCGACCGTTTCTTGTCTGCTCCTTTTTGTAACTCCAGTTGCACTTCCTCTGGTAATTTGAGCGTATGATGGACACAAATACATCTTGATCAATGTTCTGGTTCAATACTTATAGACTTCGAAGATGTTTTTCTATCTTATCAGACAGTTTAACAAACGTGTTACTTTGTTTTTTGCTGAAGATAGATGTATCACCTGATTGTAATGCAGATTAATAATTTCCTGTGGGTTTCCAAATCTATCTTTAAGACAACCCCAGCCACTGAATAATTCTCACTAGATAACACAAGGCCAGCTATTGGCCTTCTGACCTCACCAAACAAAATCAAGTCTGCGCTTATAGTACTGTGTGTCTTTTACATATAGAACCTCGCCATACGGGTTGCTTGTAAAGTTTTTTTCTCTCTGGTTGATGAAATCGAGGTATCCATATTTCGCTCGAAGACGTATCAGACTTGAGCCATGTTTCTGAAAAAAGCAAGGACGTCAAAGTTTACACACTCAGCTTCAATAATATCTATCTTATTTGCAATGCTTTGGACATTATAATGTAAGACAAAAAAACCCTGTTATTTACCACCAAATCTGACAAACAGGAAGACAGTGATGAAATATTTGAAACAGACTAGTCGCTCGAGTTTGATAAGGCTTCCATTATAAGGAAGATTGTCCATGCAGATGATAAAGCATACAGCAGTACAAGAATAAAGTAACCTTAAAAGTTTTTACTTTCCCTTGATTGTAGACAAAGAAGGAAACGCCTGAGAGAAAATTGATGTTTTCATAGGTTGTTGACGTAATTTTCGTTTGCAAGACAAACATATACAAATGAATTGACACTGTGACAAAAATAATCATAGTATGCAGAGAAATGATCATTTCCAGTGACAGTGGTAAGGCCGCATGGGTGCTGACAGGAACTTTTGTGTGATATTCATTAAGTAAATGATGTAAGAAATAGTATGTATGAACCGATTTGCCACAGTTATGCACACGTACAACTAAACACTTACCGGCAGGAAGTTTATGCCATCTGAATAAAAACAAGAAGATAAGGCTTTAGGTTAAAAGATAAATAGGAATTATATTAGAAAAAGATAAGATGACATAGACAAAGATTTTGATGATCCAATGGAAATATGATTTTAATTGACAGAACTGTTTTTATTCTAATATATTTTCAAAATCAAAGGAGCCTTGAGTAAGGTATTTAATAAATAAATATACAAATGTACTTTAAGACAGATATTACATATATTTCATTTTTGTTTTTAATTTAAGTGGAGTACATACGTTAAGTGAGATATTCTAAATGGAAGTGAAAAAAGGTAAAGAAAGGAAACAACCATGTAAGCTGCAAGTTGTATAACTTACTAGGCAATAAGTCAAGTGTTATCTAATGAGAAATGGCATCTATTTGTAATATGTTGTTTTAGTTGCAATTTTTAAAGAAGTTATGACCAATCAATATTGGTTCCAGTCTGATCCAATACAGAAATTTACACCATGATAAAGACATTCATATTTAGACTGTACAAATGTAAGTGTATAGAAATGTATAAATTCCCTATAACATTATATACACATATCAAGCAATAATCTTCAAAAAGATTCATATTTCATTCAAAGTTATAACAGGAAAATTTACACAAGATGAAGACTTTCGTATTAAGACTGTACACATATAAGTAAATAGAAAGGTATAAATTCCCTACAACATCATATACAAACATAAAGGAAATATCTTCAATTAAATTCATATGTAGAATTGCGATTATCACATTTTTACTATCATGTATGTATGCCTACCAAATCACTAATGTGCTTAAGTAATCATCAGTAATCATAATGTTTAATGAATATATATTTTCAATAAGACACATAGTACCTTTACTAATCAAGCATTAATCATTATGAACAATACGCATAATATTGACGATACACTCATATTCTAATCGATTCTACGAAAAGTTCACCACAAGCACAATCGGATGTAGCACAAATTTCTTTGTTTATTTGACATTACTTATACATGAACATGTCTTATTTACCTTGCCACAAGCAGATTCTCTCTGTATTTACTCTGCACAATGTTGCACTTTCACGAATGCACAATTCTAGGTTAGTCTTGCAATATCTCTAAAATTTAACAAAACTGGTGTAAATTTAAACTTTATTCCCTTAACTTCAAATTATTTCGTTCAAAGATTACTCACCTGCAAGTATTCGAGATATTAATCATACAATATTGATACAATATATTATCAATAAAACTTTATCAATACAATAATATAATACTATGGTCATATGTGAAGTGCAATGGAGGATCGCACAACATACCTGAACATACATGTAGCCCATTATGTTACGGGTGACAGGTTATTAACAATGAGTGATGATAAAAAAGTATCTTATCGAGATATAAAGAAAGATAAAGGAATTATTTGATAAAACGTGTAAGTATATGTACTACTAATTGATGTAAAGCTGAAAGATGTCAAAATATATATGCAATTTAGTCAGAGGTATAGTGATGAACTGCTTAATACAAAAAGGCCGTAAGAAAATGATACTGAGTTAGTTAATTTTATAAATTATAGATAGGTATATCAAAAAAAATTGTCTTCACACTAGCTGCTTTGCGTATAAATATCTGGAAAAAAGTAGAATAAGAGTAAAACTTTTAGATTGGATGTTATTGTGTCTGTTAATGATTTGACTGGAATCGGAAGGCAGTAAATACATACAAAAGTGTAAACAACGATTCGTTACTATTGGTACAAATGAAAAATAAATCCACCAAACACTTATATTTTAAAATCCATCAAAACACTGAAATGCTTTAATCCATCACTTAATGTAGCTAAATATATTATCATTCAGACAATGGTGTGAAATTGAATATATATATTTGCGTAATTAAATCTTGAAGGCAATTATACCTTATTCAATATATTTTTAATTTATAAAACGGTTTTCCTATTTTTATTTACAGCAAAACAAATCAACGAAAGAACGGTATTGTTTATAAACTACAATAATCATATAACTATCTTGATTACTAGTATGATTACTTAGTGAAAACAATACACAAACAATTTATATGTATGATAAGCAAGGTACAACTGCATAATTCTTGGTCAAAGGCTTAACATGAACACATTATGTAAGATTTATTTACCTTATAATGCTTTAGTATCACGTAGTGCATTTCCTCTTTTTAATACGGACATTACTTAATCAGTATAATTCGGGTTTGAACTAGAAGCTTAATATCAAACATGTTGACTTTAGAATATCAGTTATAACATACCAGTGTTTATTTTCAAATTTCAAGGACAAAATCAAATACACACTGACGGTTTAGTATCATATTCATCCAGGAATAACCTTCACGTTGAATCATATATTAATAAAATATTCTAATTTATAAGTTATGACTCGAGGATGACAGGATAATTCCTAATAAGACTTTGATATTTCCAAGAGTAAATGTTTATGTCTGCAGATATTTACTCTTACTAATAAATGGAAGATAATGCAAATAAACACATCAGAATATGTGTAAGATATTCTATAATCAATCATTTGGTGAAATTTAATAAACAGCTCAACTTAGGTGTATGGTGTACGTGCCTGAAATTATGCGCGGGAGGGCACCAGATGTCTTCCATGTGGAGAAAAATCATAAGAACTTTTCAGTGTCAGCGTATCAGAAATATTATTATTTCTTCTTCTAAAATGGACTGATTTTAATGAATAGTCTATGTTCGATTTATATAATAAAAAGGAAAGTAAATAATAATATTATTAAATAGAGATTTTTTCATTACAGGTATTTAAAATAAAAAATGTTACGGTAAACATTAGCATGAAGCAAACTATTTGTTTGCTCTGCGTATATTTGTAATATTTTTTTTATTGTTGTTGCTAAAAAAGCATATTGAACTTGCTCCACACTGGTTTCATTATGTATATTGATGAATTATATGTGACAGTTACGTCTGGAAAATGTCCATCACACTATCTAGACAAAAAATTTCTACCTAACCTGCTGACACAGCAGATGCAATATCCACACATTTGATGATGGTACATGATATATGGGCGTTCTAATAGATA